AAGCAGACCCGGGAATACGGCATCATGTGGAACGCTGTGTGGAATGAATGCTGACCTCACCGGTGGACCACAGACAGCGAGGACTGCAGCTCTCACATATCCTACCCACCAGGAGAAATATCAATACGGCCTCAGTGCAATACATCCTGAGCTACTGCTGGTATTTTTTAATATTTGTCTAAGGATTTATTTTATTCAATTTATTTTTCATTAAAGACATATTGATTTTTAAGAAGCACCTTCTTTTTCTCTTTAATTTTTTTTAATTTACATCTCTATTTTTTTAGCACACAGTTGGTACTGTGTTGTCCTCTTTTCCCAGTACAGTTTGTTTCATTTCTTAATTTTTCATATTTACTGATATCCAGTAAATTATACGATACTGGCAATTGGGCCCTATGGCTGTGCATTATCTATATACATAGCTTAGTGTGTTAACCCTTATGCTACATTCTGTGGACTTTACTTAGTATATTGGATCCAAGCTATCTTGTGGACTCCTTTATATCATTGACTCTCATGCGGATTAATTTTGGATATATTAGACTAATTGCTGTTTTTCCACTTTTTTTACCTGGGCTTAGAGAACTTGAGTTATATTTTACTAATTTTTTATCTGTGTTTTTATTTGATATACATTTTTGTGCAATTGATTTTAACTACCGTAACCCATTTATCTTATTTTTATAAGTGAGACTTATACATTTATTAACAACCTGCTCTATTCCAACCTGAACTACGCTACTAACCTGCTTTATACTTCCCTGATCTAGACAACCAACCTGCTCTATACCAACCTGCATAACACCAACCTGGACTTCACTACTAACTAATATTGCAAGGTGTTATTTACCTGTTTTATCAGTGATCCTTTCCAACAGGGGGGTGATTCACTAAACTGCTATTTTATCTGTAATTCTGAAACCTTACTCTTCTGTTCTATTTTACTTGTTTTTCTATATACCCTATACTTTCAACTATAGGTGTTTGCATGTTTATAATCCTGTCTGGGGCATATTGCCTAAACTTCTATTTCTATTATTTTACCTTCTACCTATTTACCTATACATTTGTTTATAGGTTCTATCTATCTACCTTTGCCTAAAATTCAATTTATAGGTTCACCTTCTTTCCATTTCCGATGATTTTGTTTATAGGTTCTCCTATTTTCCCTTCTTTCTATAATCTTGTTTATATGATTTCCTGCTACCTTACTACAAACTCACCAATAAAGAACCTAACGTTAACTCTGGCCAAAGTCTCTTATCTGACCTGCTCAAGACCATGACAGGTACCACCTGAACAGCATTGTATAGGCCTGTTGCTTAAGTGTCATGCAAATAGTAAGTGACACTACTGCCTCCCAAATTTTGGTCCAATCTGTGGCTTCATCAGGGGTCCCTAGGTCCAATTCCCTTGCAGATATGTAGGGCAAGGAGAGTCGTTTGTGTCACCAATAGTGTGTTTATGTCTGAAATCTGACCATTTATAATCGGCGAATGCATGCAGTTGTGTTCAAAAGGTGTAAGTAATGGTGTACCAGTTTGATAGATGGTAGGCAAGGATTCCAGGCTTCCAAGTTGCATGTAGCAGAAAAAGTAAAAGTTTGTAAGCGACGTGTTTCCAGGAATGGCAGACTATTCCAGAATGGAATTGTTGACATAGAGGTTCCCTAAGCATGTGATATCCTTGTCTTTGTAGAGAGTAAAGTGCCTAGGCGTGAACCTCAGTGGCAATAGTTTATTGAGTAAAATAGGAGTAAGGGGGGAATGTGTGATTGTTTGGGCTGTGCCAAATGAACATCATAATGGTAGTGGATGAAGTTTGTGAAGTCCCAGACCTCTTGACCTTCAAGGGAACATATAGAGTATTTCTGTGAACTCTTTGTTTACATTTCATATAAATGTCCACTGCAGCTTGCAATGCCTTAAAATCCAATCTGCAAACAGAAATCAGTAGTGCCTGAAAAATGTACAGGAATCTGGGGAGCAGGTTACACAGCCCAGCAAGGTGCTCAAAGAGTCAAGTCCGTAAGTGCTTTTTGCAGTATGGGATAAAAGTTTTTGTCATAGAGTGAATAAATATCATTGGGAAGCTGAAAACCCAGGAAAGTGATAATGGACTCAGAGGCAAAACAGAAATTTCTTACATAGGTGAGTCAGCTCTACAGTGTCTATGTTGACTGGTAAGATTTCAGACTTCGTTAGGTTTATCTTATAACCCAAAATCTTAGAATACCTTTGAAATATTTCAAATAGTCTCCATAGAGACCTCAGGATTCATCAGTGTGAGGAGAACATCGTTGATGTAGGCCACTACGTTAAAGATCTCCCCTCTAATGTTTACCCCTATAACTTCCCATCTGGATCATATTGCCTGCAACAAGAGTTCAAGGGACAGTGTAAACAGAAGGGGAGATAAAGGACATCCTTGCCTCGTGCCATTCATTATGGGAAAAGTGGGTGGAGAAATATTTGGTAGGAGGGGAAAGCCTTGAGAAAATTTATGAAGTCTAATGGTAAATCAAAATTAGCAAGTATTTAAGTAAACAAGAAGGGCCAAAGGAGGCGTTCAAACTCCTTTTTGGCATTGAGGGAGATCACGGCCATCGGAACACGTCTCAAAAACTTGAGGTGAGAATATGATTTTCTACCATGTTTTCAGGGGACAATGGAATATGCTTATATAGGGCCCTAAAATATTGTAGGAATGTGTCATCTATCTTTTTGGGAGAGTTGCTAACGCAGCCTTCTGGACTGTGTGTCTGGGAAATCCGTTTGGATTCCACTCTATTTCAGGTGTCTTGTGAGTAAGGAATCTGCATTCCCTTTCTAGTAGAATTTCTTTTGGATGTGTCGAAAAGAGTAAGTATTTTTAGAGACTCCCTGCTGATAGCTGAGTGAAGAGGACAGGTGTTGGAATTTGTTTATGCAAGAATCCTATACGATATTGTTTGGCGATAGTGTTCTGATTTGTTGTAATCATTTTTTTTTTTTTGCCTGCCGATGCCAAATGAATTAGCTTACCCCGTATGACCGTTTTGTATGCTGCCTGTAAGGAAACCTGGTATATATAATCCTCATTCGGTAGTTTCCTCCCGAACCGCCAGAGCATCAGTGAGTATAGCTCTTCGTTCAGTAGATGAAATAGACGAAATGTATACTAATACAAATAGCTTTATAAGATAATTCCCTTAATAAAGCACACGAATCCCCAAACATCAGCCGAAGTCAATAAGAAGGGTAGAACAGCTACTGTTGGAATGAGGGCTCCCCCCCTCCCCCTTCCTCTCTCTTTTCTTTTTCCTTTCCTCTGATCTTTTTCTCTTCTTACTTTTCTCTTTCTACTGTACTTTTGTCTCCTGTTCCTTTTCCTGCTATCTATTTTTCTCTCTTTTCCGTTCTCTCTATCTCTTGATAGCCAAGAGATTAGTGTTTCTCCGCGATAGGTTTAATCAAGCTGTCAGAAGTGCTGGGATACCCATACATAGAAAGCGCTATAACACGCAGTGTAGTAGAATGGGTCCCAAATATAGCCAATATGCCTGTGAGACAGGTGACAGCTCCCTTAATGGGGCAGCGACCGGAGGGGAACGCGGGTAGATCTCGCTTGGCCTACCTGATATATATATCTTAGCTTTTTACAAATCTCTAAGCGGGCTTCTGCGTAAGCCTGAAGGTTTCTATGCAATTGTTCCACCCGTTGAGAGAAAGCATACAGTTCATCCAAAAACTCTAGACGGGTAGCAAGGCACCAACGATTTCAACATGACTTATCGATATGTAATGGATATACGCCTCTTGCGCCCAAGGCAGTGTTGCTTGCCATTGGCTTCTGCGTAAGCATTTAAGTTGGCCATGTACTTGCTATAACCTATAATATGACACACACAAAAAAAAAAAAAAAAAAACCTTTGTAGACGACAGGTACCAATAGTTTCTTAAGGAATGGGCGTAGATCGTATTTGTTGCACTATGTTATGCTTATGAGAATTGAATTCACATTGGCTTCTGCGTAAGCCCAAAAAGTTGATGAATACTTGCTGCGTCTATTGAGTGAAAAATAAAGAATTAAAAAAAAAAAAAAAAGGGTAGAACAGAACTGCCTTTAATGACCACACACAGGCTTTTATGCAAGTCCCCATGCAAGGGGACATTCCACAGGGAGGGACACAGTCTAACCAATCCGTTACAGTAAAATCATAAAACACACCCAGCACACACATACAATTCCCTCCCCTAGTCCTGGAGATAATCAGGTCTGATAAAGTAATAACTTGATTATCTCCAGGCAGAAAAATCACAATTTTCCCCAATATTTGGAACATCCCTTTATACATGAGGTATCCCCACAAATAATATGTCCCCTGATAGCCCCGATCTGGGTGACCAACTTATTCAAATTTCACCCAGATCGGTTCAGGGGTTCTCAAAAAAGGTGGAAGTCTTCTGTGACCGGCAAACCGTGGGCTGGCTGTCCAAAATAGTTCCATGAGTTTGGGTGGTTTTGCCGGTCACTTCAATAAAGGGGTAAAAACCAAATAAAATACCGAATGGATTCCCCTGGCTCTCAGCAGCGATTGTTCCCCTTAGTCAAATGCACAAAAGTACCGAATAGCGCTCTTCTAGCTATTCAGGAAATATAGAGCCAGCGTTCGCCTGTTGAGACCGGTGTTCGGGAAGTCGAGTGTCCGATTTTAGTTCCAGACACTCGACGACCAAGTCCCGCTGCCTTTGTTCGGCTGAAAAAAGATGGCCGCGGTTTTCTCAGCCACGATGCGTTCGGTAGTACGAACGCTGGCCACACAGATAGAGGGGTCAAATGACGAATGCCTTGAAGCTTAATGAGCCAGGGGGGTGGTCTTTATTCGGTAGTTAGATCTACCGAATGAATAAGGGAGAACTAGGGTGCATAGAGAGGGATTTCTTCACACTGCCTATAAGGTAATCGATGAGGAGCCCGACGGGGCATTTGTGTCAAAATATTCAATAATCTTCCTGGAAATAACCTCGGCAACTAACTTATGTATCGAAAGAGGATTACGTCTTCACGTCCAAGGGCATTTCAAGTTGGGAATTGTGAGACTTTAGGTATGTCAGCATGGTCAGACTAGGGGATAGAGCTTATCATTGATTTTTTTGATCCATGCAAACAAATTTGTAGAAATTAAAAAGTGGTCTATATAGTAGTACGAGTTATATGGGGTGAGAATAAAAGGTGAAGTCCCTTGTTGAGGAGTATTGTGCCCTCCATATATCCAGGCAATTATAGGATGCAAAAAATTGGGAAAACAGGACCTCATTCTTAGATGGATGCTATCGCCCCTGACTCGATGTGCTCTTGTCTGGGGAGTGTACTTCATTGCAATCTCCTCTTATAATAGTGTGTGTGGTAGATAGAGAGGAATGATGAACAAAGAATGTAGGCCACAACGTTTGGTCAGAGGTCATTGGTGCATATAAGGAGCAAAATGCAAAACTGACTGTCCTTATCTTGCCGGTCACATAGCGTCTCTGGATGTTTGTGATTGCCAATTTGTCGGTTACAGGACAGGAGGATCGCAGGATGACTGTTACACCGTTTGATTTTGTGTCATAGGAGTTAGCTAATAAACACTTTATATATATTTTTTTGTCAAAGGAAATAATCGATTTATTCTAAAGTGCGTTTCCTCTACCAATAAAATATCTTCCTGTTGTCTATGAGCCTATCGGATGAGGGTATGTCACTTAGTGGGGTTATTGAGACCTTTGCATTGATAGAGTCACATTTGGTATTAAGAGGCATTATGAGTAGTGCAACGAATTGCATTTGAAGAAATCACGAAGGAGCCAGGGAGAGTAGAAGTTATAGTGAATGAAGATAGTGTGGGAAGGAAGGAAGGACCACTGGCCCTGACTGAGAAGGGAAGAAGAAATTGGTGGGAAGTAGAAAAGAACTACGGAACTTACAACACAGGCTAGTAGAGAATGGTAGACAGCCACTAGAGGAGGCGTTAGCCATAGCTGGTAATTATTGCAGTTTGTTAAAAACTGCAATAATTACCTGGTCAGGATTAAGGGTGCTGGGACAATGCACCCAGACCACTTCAATGATCTGAAGTGGTCTGGGTGCCTATCGTGTCCTTTTAACAGAGGAGTCATCCCATACATATAATAGCTATCTGTCCAATTCAGGAGACAGTCATATTGTTCCATCTATGGAAACTTGTATTACATCAATTAACTTTGAACCATGACAGGTGCATTATGTTTTGAGATGTGTAGAGAGGGATCTCTTAACCTCTTCAGGACCGAGGATGGTTCAGGACCGTCATCTGCATTTTAGCGTTGCCGACCGATGATGGTCCTGAACCATCCTAACGGTGTAATGTACTTACCCGATTGCCGTCGTTCCCCCGGCGGCGATCAGCGGTGCTCCCGGTGTGAGGAGACTGCCTGCAGCCCAGACAGTCTCCCCATGGTGGACTAGGACCCCTGGGTGTCCATGTGTCTGCCTGCAGGGGGACTGCCTGTGCTGACAGGCAGTCTCCCTGCTAGTGGAAAATAAAAAAAATAAAAGTTAATGTTAATAAAAAATAATAATAATTATATATGTGTATATATATGATATATAGACATATTATATCTTTATAATATATATGTCTATATGTCATATATATAATATCATACTAAGTGTAATTTTATATTAATATGTACATATATTAATATAAAAATACACTTATAATTAAATTACACATGTGTATATGTGTATATATATATATATATAAAACATACATATATATATATATATATATAATATATAATAACTATATATATTGTATCTATATATATATATCAAAATACACTCAGAATGAAATTGTATATATATCTATGTATATATAAAATAAAAATAATACGAAATATACATATGTCCATATACAAAATTACATAAATAATTATATAAATATACACATAGACTTCAAATATATAAATATGCATATATATTTAAATTATACGTGCGTATTTATGTAATATTTTTACATAATTAAGTAATTTTATTGATTGCAATTTGAGGGACCTGTCTGCCAACCCAGGCCGAAAGTCCAGAGAATTTAATTTGCTAGCACTATCTTTTACCCTGTAACTTTCTATGACACCCTAAAACCTGTACATGAGGGTACTGTTTTACTCGGGAGCAGGGCCAGATTAAGAGCCCAGTGGGCCTGGTGCTGACAATTATGACGGGCCTAATTACAGAATCATATCGACCAAAAACAGTAAAACACTCCCAAGCATCATGTATCTGATGGAGATGGTGCTGGAGAGAAAGAAAACAGCAGCTATAAGAAAACACATACCCTAGGCTAATCTCTCACTAATTTATGTTTTCATCTTTCAAGTAAATCCATAACCCCTAACACCAGTGTCCAGTCAAGTAGGAAGTCAATGGGCATGGTAAAAGGGTGTGCCACTGACACAAATCACATAACCTGCCAAAAGGGGCGAACATGCCCAAAAAGAGGACATGTCTGCTCAAAGAATTAGAAGACCAGCCTGGCATGAATGCATGTCAGGCTGCCTGCCAATCATGCAGCTGGCCAACTAAGGGCATACTATGCAGACAGCACCTTGAGCTTGGCATAAATGCATCTAATGATGCGCTCACTCAACGCTTTCTAAGGACTGTCTCCTAGCACTCGCTGGTCCACTTGTCTCCTTACCTTCTTACTAGCAGGCAGAAGCTCCTGGTATATGGTCCGGGACAGAGAAAAGCTGTATGTAGTGAGTGTAGAAGAAAGGGAACATGCCACCGTGTTAGAGAGACCAAAGTCAGCATTACCACAAGCATGAATTCATGACCCTATAGTGTTAACACCACCATCTAGCCCCCTGGGCCCCTCATGCCTCCATAAATATAGCAAAATCCTACTATATTCAAGCCTGAAGCTGTAACTCTGCATGCTGTTAGACTCATAAAAACAAGCAGTCTGCTGACATCATTAGAAGTGGTGGCCTGATCCAATCACAGTGCTTCCCCAAAGGATTGGCTGAGACTGACAAAGAGGCAGATCAGGGTCAGAGCCAGCATGATTCAAACACAGCCCTGGCCAATCAGCATCTCCTTATATAGATGAATTTAATTAATGAATGTCTATGAGGAAGGAGGGAGGAGACACTGAATGTTTGGATGCATTTTAGGCAGCTGTGACCCAGGAAGGATCTCTAACAGTCATCTAAGGAGTGGCCAGTGAAGTCACTAGGATGTAATGTAAACACAGCATTTTCTCTGAAAAGACCGTGCTTACAGCAAAAGGCCTGATGGTAATGATTCTACTCACCAGAACAAATTCAATAAGCTGTAGTTGTTCTGGTGACTATAGTGTCCCTTTAACTATATTCATTGTCAGCTAGTCCACACAAGTTTACATCCCTCTTAAGTTTCCATACTTAAGTAAGAGTATGTGAAAAGTAGTTAGGGTTGCCACCTTTCTTGTAAAAACAATTTGCATAATTAAATATGTATGGGTGACATCACATGATGTAAATCACAAGGAGTGACATAAGAGAAAATGCTGTAAAATCACCAAAAAACTATTTAGTTTAAATCTGCTGTAAAGATGGATTCCTCCCAGTGCCCCCATATGTCGATTACTCCAGTCCTCAGTGTTCCTATGTATCAGTGTCTCAGTGCCCCATGTCTCCCAGTGTCCCAAGTGTCGTGTCCCCAGGCCTCCTTTTTTGCCTTCCCTATGTATCAGTGTCTCAATGCCCTATGTCTCCCTGTGTCCCCATGTATCCCAGGGTCCCCATGTCACTAGGACACTAGGAAGACGGGGAGACCTGGGGACACGGGGAGACCTAGAGACACGGAGACACCAGTGACACTGGGAGACTAGGGGACTCTGGCTGGGACACATGGGGACAATGGGAAAATAGGGGACACTTGAAGACATGGGGACACAGACACCAGGGACAAAGATACTAGAGACACTGGCTGGGGGACATGGGGACATTGAGACATGGGGGCACTGGGAGACATGGGGACACAGACACCAGGGCCACAGACACTAGGGACACTAGCTTGGTGACATTGTGACACTTGAGGCACTGAGAGACATGGAGGCACTAGGAGACATGGGGACAGTGAGACACTGGCAGACTGGGGGCACTGGGAGACTAGTGGTCACTGGAAGACTAGAGGCACTGAGACACCAGGAACACTGGCTGGGAGACATGGGGACACTGTGTCCCCATGTGTCTGTGTCATAATGTCTCCCAATGTCCCTTAGTGTCTCAGTGTCTACCATAATGTCTCCCAATGTCCCTTAGTGTCTCAGTGTATGTCTCCCTGCTGCCTTTCCCCCCATCCCTTACTTCCCTGAGCTGTAGGCTGTCTCTGCAGGGTGGGAGTTGCTGTCTGGACTCTCTGTAGCTGCACCCCTGCAGATCAGTGAGTATAGATAGGCAGGGAGGAATATGCTGGAACTTCCTATACCTGCCTGTCTCCACATGCAGCGACCCCTACTGGCCAGTGCTGGTATTGCATAGTAATTTCCATTTATACTGAGAAAAATACCAGCATTTATATTGCCAGTATCACTGCAATATTGTCACTAGCCAGGCAGCCTCAAATACTGGCTGTACCAATAAAATAAAAGCCAGGTGGAATCCCTAAGAGCAGTGTGTGAAAAAAAAAAATGTAAATCAATGGGCCTATTCCATGGGCCTGGGCCTGGAGCTGCAGCTCCATCAGCCCCTATGTTAATCCGGCCCTGCTCGGGAGACTTCGCTGAACACAAATATTAGTGATTCAAAACAGTAAAACGTATCACAGCGATGCTATTGTCAGTGAAAATGACTTTTTTTGCATTTTTCACACACAAACAGCACTTTTACTGATGATATAATTGTTGTGATACGTTTTCCTGTTTTGAAACACTATTATTTGTGTTCAGCAAAGTCTCCCGAATATAACAGTACCCCCCCATGTACAGGTTTTATAGCGTTTTTGAAAGTTACAGGGTCAAATATATGGGTCAAATATTTTTACATTGAAAATAGCCAGGTTGGTTACGTTGCCTTTGAGAGCGTATGGTAGCCCAAGAATGAGAATTACCCCCATGATGGCATACCATTTGCAAAAGAAGACAACCCAAGGTATTGCAAATGGGGTATGTCCAGTCTATTTTAGTAGCCACAAACGCTGGCCACAATTAGCGTTCAATTTAATTTTTTACTTTTTTTCACACACAAACAAATATGAACGCTAACTTTGGCCAGTGTTTGCGACTAAATGGCTACTTTGTCTACTTTAAAAAGAATATGTACATGTGGGTGTTATTCAGAGATTTATGACAGATAATAGTGTTACAATGTCACTATTGAAAAAAAAATGTATGTTTTGAAACCGCAATATCGTACTTGTACCTATAGCCCTATAAATTGCAAAAAAGCATGTAAACACTGGGTATTTTTAAACTCAGGACAACATTTTAATCTATTTAGCAGTTTTTTTCATTCGCTTTTGTAGATTAGTAAAAGATTTTTCAAGTTAAAGCTCTTAAACACAAGGCTGGAAAGAAAGAGGGTGAGTCTGGATTCCAGCGACAGCCAGATTAGCTATTTTAACATGTCACAATGGTGGGTCATGTAATTACACTGTAGCACAAAGCAGCAGAACGAGTTATACAATGTAGTAAGTTTATTAAGGTGGGTTTGCGGTGCAGGTGCATATCCTATATCCACATAAGCAATGATTGGCATCAGCATTTACTGTACAATCTTTTCCTTTGCTGTGGGGCTTAGGATAAAGTTTAGATGTAGGTATTTCTATGTGGAGGTCAAAACATAGATTGGGGTCTAACAACATACCCAAGTATTTGAAAGAGTGGACTGCGGTCAGTGTGTTATTTGATATTGTTTTGATGCATAGATGGGAATGTTGTAATTTTTGTTATTTAGGTACTGTTCCAAATATCATTGTAACAGTTTTAAAAAATCATTGTGACAAAAAAAGTTTGTTTTTTATGATCCACTTTTCTACATCTGAGAACTGTTCTTGGAGCCTCAGCTGCGGTAGATCGGATTTGCTTACATAGATTACTGTGTCGTCAGCGTACATGTGTACATTTGAGGCTTTCAAGACATTAGGCAGATCATTTATGAATATTGTGAATAGTAGGGGGCCGAGAATAGAACCTTGGTGAACACCACATGTGACTGAGAGAGGGAGGGAGTCGCTGTCAGGAATGGACACATATTGTGATCGATCCAATACATATGATCGAAACCAGGTTAGCAGACTGTTACCAATACCTGAGTTTTTTAGTTTGTGCAGTAGAATGTCGTTGTCTACTGTGTCAAAGGCCTTGAAAAAATCAAGGAAAATAGCTCCAGTTAAGTCTCCTTGTTCCATGCCAGTTTGGATGTTATTGCAAACTTATAAGAGGGCAGTTGTAGTTGAGTGATTTGGGCGAAAGCCTGATTGATCAGGGGTCAGATAGTTTGATTTTTGGCAATACTCACATAGTTGCACATGGACGCATTCTTCCAAGATTTTTTACAATACATGGAGCAATGATATTGGGCGATAGTTATAAAACAAAGAAATAGAGAGAAGAGAAAAAAAATTGTGCATTTATTTTATGTGTGTCAATTGCTTAACAAAATTCACAGTGCTACAGAGTTGGCTCCCACATTACTTTTGAATTTTTTTTAAATTGATTTATTTTGTATTTTTGAAATGCAGGTGAGTACAACAGTGCCTGCATTGCCACAACAGCATTCCCAGGCTCATTTGATATAAGCAAACAAAGGTTATGGCATGTTGTGTTTGCACATTTTTGTATTAATAAATTCAAGTTTTGAACCTAGTATTACGTAACAGAAGTGTAGTAAAATACAAGGTGAAATGTTGCCTAAGCCACCTTGCGCTTGCAGGTGAGTAGTTAAGATTATGGATGCAACCCTTCCATTCTATTGTGTTGTGAGGCTAGGACCTGGGTGCAGTTTGCGTGTCTCCGGGTTGATCTGTGTTCTAGTAATGTGTGTATGCTAGGGCGGCCTGAGGCATTAATGGGAGTTAACATGGTTTGACCCCGGAGTCTGGGGGTGGGGGTTGTTAGTCTCTTTGCAGTATACTTGCTTTTCTATTGCAACTTTGGCGCTATGGTGTTGCCTTGGTGCTCTGTAGGTTTGAACGCCAGGTGCAGGGGTCTACAATGGCGGTGTGCAATGTGGTCTGTGTGTCGAGTGCAAAATATCTGTGGGCATTCTTGGATAGCAAGATAAGCAGAAAGCATACAAGGGATAACAAGACACAACTCATTGTAACATAATGGAGTTTTGAGTTCTTTGTGTCTGGCATTATCACTTCCTCATTAGGCATTGGGAAGCTTCATTGTGCCTCTTCATACTGGGGCTGTCAGTCCCAATGGGGTGAATGTCGTGATGTTGGCCAAAGTCCCACCGATGTGCGGGACCTGTCTTGGCTCCTGTAGTTGGGTGGGTGCCCAGTGCTTGCAAGAATTGCGCCGCTTCTGTCAGCGAGGTCAGCCAGTGGCTGTGCCCTTCCCATTCGGCGATGAGTGTTCTTGGGTATACTGTATGTCCTCTGCTCTCAGCTGCATTGTGGTTTCCTTCAGAGATGCGCTCCACTGTAGTGTCTGTTAGAAGTTAAAGGTGTAGTCTTCAAATGCGTACTGGGTTTGTCCCCTGATGGAGTGGAGGAAGCTTTCTTTATCTGAACGGGATTTAAAGCTCATTATTACATCTCTTGCTGAGTCTGGGTTATTGCGTGGGTGTCCCGGTAGACGGAATAGGCTGTCTAGAGTCAGTCCTTTGGCCTGTTTGGGCGGTAGGACAGCCAGGAGCAGCCTCTTAATAAAGTGTGGTAGTTTGTCTGCGGTTATATTGTCAGGGATCCCCCTCAACTTTAGGCTCCTCTGTCTTGCCATATCCTCCAGCTGTCTCACTCGTACGTTTAACTGTGTGCATGTGGCTACCAGCTCCTGTGTCTGCTTAGCTATGTCGTCCTGTTGGGCCTTCAGGTCCCAAACCTCTTCTTCCGTGGCCCTTATTCGGTCTGTAAGAGTGTCCAGCTCAATCTAAAGACCTGCTAGTTCTGCTGTGAAGAAGGCCTTAAGGTCAGTCACCATGCCTGATAGATCAACCTTAGTAGCCAGTGGGGGTTTCGTTTTCCGTGGTTGCGCAGTCTGGTGCCTCCTTTGGGGTGTCGGCACATCACTCAGGTAGTCATCCTGTAAGGCAGAGAGTGACTCCATCCCTAGGTTCTGAAAGGCGTCCGCCATCTTGGGCCTGCATGCCTGGGACATGAGTTGTCCGATGTCGCTGGTATGTCCTGTGTTCGGCCCCCGGGATTTCCTTGAATGTTTCCCCATATCGCAGCGGGTCTCCCACAGTTTGTTTTGTGTCGTGGTGAGATTAGTTGACTGAGTATCGTGTTGACTGAGTATCTGTTTTTCTGTGTTTTAGTCGGAGCTCAGGCACCATGCGTCTTGTCAGCTTGCCAGTTAGCTCTGCCCCCCCCCCCCGGCTCCCACATTACTTTATAGGGATTTTCATGCATGACCACCAAAGAGGTTCATTTACAAGTTGTTCTTGCTCAATAAAAGGTGCTAAGTTTTAAACTCCGACCCACTCCCCATCATAGACCCCCATTGCGGATGAAATTAATTATGGTCAGCCAAATGCGATTGTACACAGCCCACCATATAAGTGTACGTTGGCTCCCATATAGAGGTGCCCAATATGCTAGCATTGTGTAATTAAAGTGTGAGCTCATATGCCAGTTATATGGACTTGGGTCAGAGAGTGACTATCCACAAGTCTAGGGAGTGGGATGGGGCAGAGGGAATAATGAGAGCATAATGTGTCAGCTGCCATGAGCATACCACTCGACTGTAAGGTTATGCTAAAGCAGGAGTGAGTTGTTAGATCACCTAAGCCCGGAGCAAAGATTTAGAGAGGGTCCTCAGCTTATGCCCATTTGGCATTTCCAGCCCTTCTAGCTGTGGGCACTGAACTCGACCACCTAACTCTGTGAGCATTCAAAATTAAAGGGAATTATGGTGCTTACAACATTTAAACACTGAGTAATATAAGAGCATATAAAAATATCCAATTGTATTTGTGTTGTGTGTGGTGCATTAACGTCTGCTGAATCCAAACATTAAGGAGGGGTGGTAAAAAGTGGGTCAGGGACATTCGTATATTTTCACAACACAAATCCCACTTAAATGAACACACTAATGTCTCACATGGTTTCAGATTGGTTTAATGGGGAATTGTATATCTTGCCATAGTCTTGGCCCATAGCCATGTTGAATAGCAATCCATTAACTATTATTGATCATATATATTATACAAATAAAACTGATCTCTAAATAGATCTATTGAGGGATGGACGAGAAGAGAGCAGAAACTGGTACGGGCGATAACTTTAAGTGCACGCAGAGCTGTGGCAACGGCGTGGCTGTCACCTGGAGGCCCGGAGTTTGGGGGGGTGATCTCTAGGATAAAGGAAAGCAGAATCATGGAAGATCTGACTTCTAGACTAAGAGGAACAACCGTAACTTTCCAGAGGGTTTGGGAACCATGGGACAATAGTGTAATGGGCTCCGGTAACGATTGATGGGTCGAATATATGGTTTAAATCGGGACCCGACACTGCATGGTCAGAGTCGGAATGAAATACCTCAGCCTTGTTCGCCTCACCGCCCATCCCATCCTCCCTACCCTTCATAATCACATCTTTCTCGTCTTCTTAACCCCTCTTCCTCGCCTTATCTTTTCTTTTCTTTCCCTATCTTTCTTTTTCACGTTTTCTCCACCTTTTTACCTCTTTATTTCTAACATTGTCTCAGTCTATGGTGGCATTATTTATTTTCCTCACTCAGGCATGAGTATACTGACGGAGAATTGAGGATGCCTAAAGTACACCCTGACATGGATGGAGTTAGGGCTCCTTCTCAGGATGCAGGGCCTGACTAAAAGATACAATATCATCGATGGGAGGCGAGAGGAATAGCATTCATTAAGAGGCTTGTCTTTTGGGCATATTATGTCATATTTCGTGTTTTCAAGTCTGATTTCTAGCATTTAGGCTCCTGTGCGAGCCTTACAGTTGTATTGTTCTTGCTATGCCTATCGTACGTAAAATTGGGAATTTAAGTGATGTAGCCATATAAAAACATAAAATCCTCGATGGGGAGCAAATTTTATGGAATCTATAAAGTGGCTTGTCATAGGGGCCGATGTTAATTTTTATGTTTATAAGTATGCTCTTTTATATTTTGGCTTCTGCGCAAGCCTCCAAGTCGTATTATTCTTGCATTGCCTATCGTGTGCAAAAATAAAGAATTCAAAAAAAAACAACTGATCTCACGCTCTTTGGGCACTGAGTGCGGGCCCGTGCATGATCATCAGTAAAATTTGAGTTTGGGTGAGGAGTGAGGAAGTAAAGCTATGAAGCTTTCAGAAGGCTTGGAAAATGTTATCTGGATGTAAAATATCATACTGCTGGGAGTATAGGCAATCGGGGGGGACTGGCTTTCTGGTCAACATAAACCCATTGCAGGGGGTTGCTAGGTGTCTGATGATTTCCACTCCAAAAAGCATGAACACCGCACCCGGCCTCTACGTGAAGGGTGCATCCCTTATCAAAATATTCAAAAGTACCTACTAAACAGAAACATGGTGAAATTCTAGCATGACTGTGGTCGAATGAGGATTAGAGTGGATAACAAGTGTCTGACTAACCTACCCACTAACATGTGGGTAAGGGTAATAATAAAATTTAAAAAATTCTATATCTTATGGATGCAAAGTACAGTACTGGACTTAATGAGGTATTTACTATGTGAGTGAAAGCGTGAGTTCAATGCACCCATCATGATGAAGAAGACTCTGAAAGTGCAGGAATGGATGGTGTAATAGCCTAGGTCTTGGCGATTCAGAAGCTGTTTCCGTGTGGTGTGCGTGAAGGTAAGAATACAGATTTCAGCCTTTGGTACAGGAAACAAAAAAAAGAGGTTTTGATTCATGTGATCCAAATATAATTTTGCCTCTTTACAAATCAATAGTAAGACACCACCTTGAATATACCGTGCATTTTGGGCACCAGTTTTCAAGAAGGATATTGAAGAAATAGAAACAGTGCAGAGGTGAGCTAAAAATCTAATAAGTGGGATGGAAAACCTTACTAATGAGGAAAGGCTAGAAAAACTGGAATTGTTTTCTTTAGAAAAAAATGCGCCTTAGAGGGTTATGATAGCACTATACTAATATATACAGGGTCAGTACAAATCAGTACAAATACAATCTGCTAACCTGTTCATTAGCAGTAATATACAGCAGACAATAGGTCACCCATTGAGACTTTAAGAAAAGAGTTTTCACTTACAGCAGAGGAAAAGGTTCATTACAATAAGAACAAGAAAGATATGGAATTCTCTACCTAAAGAGGTTGTGCTATTAGCAGTGGCGTACACACAATCCATGGGGCCCCAGTGCAGAACTGATCAGTGGCCCTCCTCTCCCTCCCCTCTACCCCGACCCTCTCCCCCCTGACCGTGGGCCCCCCCGACATACATACAGACACAAACACCCCCGACAGGCACATACACACAGAGAGACACACCCCCCCGGACAGACACATACATGCAGAGACACACATACAGCCACACACACATACAGAGACACACACACACATACAGAGATACATATATACAGAGACACAGACACATACATACAGATACACACAAATACAGAGACATAGACATACATACACACATGCAGAGACACACATACACAAAATGTTTCCTACCTTTTGTGACTTTCCCTGGGGTCCAGTGGTGGCTCAGCCTGATGGGAGTCAGAGTTCCCACTCTGACTCCCTCCTCCTTCCTCCCGCGCGGCTCTCTGTGTTAGCTGGGAGGAGTGACCAGGTAGTCACTTCCTCCCAGCAGTGATGTCATCACAGGGGGCCCGGTCGCGCTGTTAAAGCGCCCAGCGCTGACCGGGCCTCCTGACAATCCATATCCATTGGGTAACCCAGAAAGCATGGGCCACCCGATGGACCCTTTAACATGCGGCTCCGGTGGTTTGTTGCGCGGGCCGGGGCCGCAAAACGTGGTAACTGGTACCCAGTCACGGGGGTCCGCAGGGCGGCCGGGCCCCCTGGAGTGATGGGCCCGGTCGCAGCTGCGATCCCTGCGACTGCGGTATGTACGCCACTGGCTATTAGATTCTATAGACACTTAAAAAAGGCTTGTATGCATTTTTGCGTAAACAAAATATTTAAGGATATAATTGATATGTATATGAACAGGTTGTCGATCCAAGGAGAAATCTGATTACCATTATGGAGTCCAGAATGATTTGTTTTCCCTTTTTGTGACATAATTGGAAATGGTTACAGTTGGGTTTCTAGCCTTCTATTGCATCAACAGGATAATGCACGAATGTGCTTTACGGTTGAACTTGATGGACTTCAGTCTTTTTTTAACCTAGACAACTATGTAACAGATGGGTTTCCCAGTCATAACAGTAGAGAGTGGTATGTTGCAGCCATCTACAGGCTCTATTATATATTACAAATACAGGAAAAACAGGTCCTGCGCTCGAACTCCCACTACTCTTGGGTGCAAGCAAACGACCACAGTACACATCAGCCCCAATACAGTAAAAACCAAAGTGAAAAAGTTACCTGCGCTCTTCCCAAATTCCTATGGATATTTAAACAAATGGAGGTTATTTAGTTGCTCCAATGACCCTCTCATGGCCATTGGAGCAACTAAATAACCTGCATATTTTTTAAAAAATTACATAGGGATTTGGGAAGAGCACATGTAACTTTTTTCTTTGGTCTTTTCATTATTACATTACCTGTAATAATGAATAATGCATGTTTTCCCAGCAGGTTATACTGTGATCAGTGCTGAAAAGCTGGCAAAGCGCAGCACCAATCACAATTGGCACAACAGAGTTTGTTCAAACCCGTGGGGAGTTGCAAGAAGAGAATCACTGTGGTTGAGTGCAATTGCTCAACCACAGTGTTTTCAATGCATTTAAATGGCTGTATACAGCTCATTGGTCAGCCTTGGGCATTAAATGGGATCCCAGCTGGCAGAGGAGAGCACCAGGTGTCAATAGGTATCTGGGTCTCCCTGGTGTGAGTAGTAATTTAAGTCTGCTCACACTATGATTTAGCTATAGGCATTTAAATGCCTATTTAAAGAGCTTTATGCACCGCTTGGTTTTGGCACTACATACAGCTCAGCTCATAAGCCAGTCTGGGGCCACTAAAAATGGCCTATCACTATCTATTAATACCTGGGTCACATGCTCACACTGCAAAGCTGTCTATGATAATTAAAATTTCCTTTTATTTAGAACATAATGGCATGTCATAAATGTTCCGACAAGTGACCCCAACACGCACAATATAACCCTTATTAGAAAGTGTATTACCGGACCTTAGAATGGCTGGGTTTAACGTAAATAGAACACTTGAGGTATAGCAAAAATCAAGGAAAACCAGAGAGCAGGATAACCATAAGGAGTAGCCGAGTCAGGAAACCAGAAAACAGGAAAAAAAGAGAAAACGAGTCAGGATACCAGAAATCAGAATAGTCAATATAACACAAGCCAAGTCAAAAACACAATATGTGCTGGCACTCAATTATGCAAGGTGCAGGTATTCGAGGTTTAACCCCACAACAACCTCCTAATCTAAATCACAAACAATTATGAATACCGCACTCAAAGCGATTATAGTAAAATCTAATCCTGTATTTACTTGCAAAAATATTTATTGTAATGATTATTGGATAAATTCATGAAGTTAATTATAATGACACTCATTTCATCCTATATACATAGATTATATACATATATACACCCAAAATCCTCCCTGTGCTAAAGTTCATGAGCTGTGTGTGTATTTACAATGGGTGATGATCCAAAAAATGGAAAAAATCCAAAAAATGCAAAAAATCTGAAAAATGGAAAAATGAAAAAATAGAAAAATATAAGAAAAAAGAAAAGAAAAGAAAAAAGAAAAAAAGAAAAAATATATATGATACAGTCCTGAAGACTAATAGTCCAAAATATAGTGCACTATACAATTCATTTTTGTATGGATGGATCTCACCGATATAGATGTTGCTTTAAAGCATGCACAGTAGGAGGATGCTGAGGTCTGTAAGTAGTGTATACCAGATGAGGGTGAAAATGATAGTTGTTGTTTGGTGAAAAGACAGTCAATCATCTATTCTCTGCAGAATCTGGTCGATATGGCAGGTCACTCAATGATCCTTAGAGTGAGCAATCCTTGAAACGGGCTGCGCGCTCGGGACGTTCCTGTCCCTTCGATGGCCCCTGTTCCTCTCCGTCCTGCCGAAGTACAGACATGTCAATTTAAATATCCTAGTTGAGCGGCAAATTCAGCCGCGACCACTCCGTGGACCTACTTCCGCCTTCTGACGTCGCTGCGTCATACGTATTAAACTAAACTTTATTGTTCACATACATATTACATATTAACAGAATAAAGAGAAATCAAATGGAAGTAAAACCTTACTAATCAATGTGTAGTAAAAGATACTACAAAAACAATTTGTACATATGCAATATAAGAAACCTGAGGAGTGGTCATAATGCTTATAAAGAGAGGAGACTGCCAAAGGACCATTATACTAAAAAGTCTATGTTAGAGGGGGGCGGAGCCAGCGCCTGAGCGAGACGGTCGCAGCTTACCGCAGCTCCGACGGCCGACCCAATAACACAGCCAAAACGGAGGCTAAATCTGCAACGGGGTCCAGAGAAAAAGTCCCCCTGCATACCCTAGACCATGGGGAAAAAAACGAAAAAGCACAGAGCGGAGCTGAGCTCCGGATCCAGAGATATAGGCGCTTTTATGCGTCCGACTCAGCGACACGAGTCAGCCAAGATGGCGCCGGCTGAGGCCTTTACCTCGCAGTCCTCGGACGATGACAGCCTACCGGACCCTGTACAGTCTAAGGTACGACCTAAGCCCCAACAGCCACCAGACCTTGGCGACCTAGCACCATCAACGAAAGCCGATATAAAGGCTATGATGATAGAAATCAGGGCGATGTTTGACGCCGATATGGCACTGATTAGAGGAGAGGTAAACACCCTTGCAGGCCGCGTAACCTCAACAGAGGAGATGCTCAGAAGCACTAGGGTGGCGCAAACGGCCACAGATGCAACTCTGGGATCCCTACAGAAACAATGCACTACACTAGCAGCCCAGCTAGCAGGCATGGAGGATAAAGCAAAAGCGCGCAATGTGCGTATTAGAGGGGTACCGGAAACCATCAATAATATGGAACTGCCTCACTACTGCAGAAGGCTGATAGCCACACTGTTATCACCAAAACAGGCTAAACAGGCTGGAATTGACTCTTGCTTTCGACTCCCTAAGGCCACAAAGGCACCACAAGATGCCCCAAAGGATGTACTGCTTAAACTGGTTCGGGACTCTGACAGAGGGGCCCTTATGGGAGCAGCACGGGGTTCCCCCCCAATCACTTTTGAAGGAGCAAGCTTGACACTATACAGGGACCTGTCGAGACATACCCTCTCGTGGCGCAGAACTTTCCGCCACATTACGCAACACCTACGTGATAACTCTATTCCTTATAAATGGGGTCCCCACAGACTGATGGCGGAACATGATGGAAAGACACACCTCTTACTGAGTGCTTCGGAAGCATCACCTTTCTTCCAATCGATGGGCATCCCGATAGCTGTGATGAACACAGAAGCCTGCCCACCGTGGAACATCGCGGAAGTTACTCCCTTTGCACCCAGGGGAACGGACCAGCAAACCTGAGATGATCGGACACTCACCCCTACAACTTTATATAATGTACTTTGTCGGGGAGATTACAACTCCCAGTTCAAGGCCTCTTAGGCCCATTATTTACACCAGTTTATATGCATGTATGCATGACTTCTCGTTACGTTGATACTCACTCCAACACTCATAATCACATTAGCTAGACACTCACAGCTCAGATTAAGGGATTCCAACTCCACCCTGGCTCCGTAAGCGGACTGCCCAAGACATGTCCTACTCAATTACCCCCCCCCCTCCCCCACCCTTACGAAGACAGAGTAGGGTCTTAATAACAACTAGTCTATACCTTCACACCAAGGGGTAAGCGACCCACCTGGAAAACTCCGACCGACCTAAGGGCCCACACAAGGGCAGGAGCATTCACAGGCCATACCGATTACACCTCCCCAACCCCCTACCGTACTTGCCCCAGGCAAGGCACGACACCCTGAACCAATCTGCAGGGCACACTAAGCTTAACGCCCAAACCCTCCCAGACATATTGCTGTATTTCTTCTATACAGACAAGAGGAGGATTAGCCTGACTCACAAAACAAAAACGGGTAGACGACGCACATGTGCAACTTTATAACATGTAATGATGATCTAGTATGTAAAATGTTACACTTTATCTCTCTGAGCACATGCTGTAATTGATTATCTTGACTTGCAAACCCACAAAAATAAAGAATTAAAAAAAAAAAGTCTATGTTATACATAATTATGAATATAAAGTGAACTAAACGAAAAAACAAGTAATATACAATAATCTAAAGGATAATACACCAAAAAATAATAAATAGGAACAAGAAATTATTAATATTCCAAAGTTAATCTGTCTAACTGATGTATAGTTATTATAAAGCTCACCTGTAACAGATGATCAAGAGGGAAAGAGTATCTGTAGCTATAAACCAGTTGAGTAACCAGCTATATATAGGAAAGAAAGAAGGAAATAAATTATCTATATCTTGTACGAATTATTAGAAAAAACTTATTTCAAAAAACAAGAAAGAAGAAAAAAGGTAAAAAACAAGAAAAAGGAAAAAAAGGAAAAAAATCAAGAAAAAATAATCAAGAAAAGATAAGTCAAAAAGGGAATTATATGAAACTTTTTTGAAAAAAACTTAAGAAAAAATAGTAAAAACCAAGTATGCAACTCACCTGTCTCGCAATGCCCCACCGTGCCCCCGGGTCCCGCGTGTGGGGGACCCTGTGCTGATGGCAGGTAGCGGACCCAAAAGGGTCAAAATGTTGGCAGGAAAGGACACCGGACCAGAACTGTGTAGGGAGCACAAAATCATAGAGCAGACAATAAATACAAGAAAAATGTCATAAGAAATGTTTAAGGTCATAGTCTTCATTAAGTCCTAATGGTGACAAAGTCTCCAAGGTACTTATCCATTTTGTTTCTCTCTGCAATAAGAGCTTCTGTCTATCTCCCCCTCTGCGTAGAGGTGGGATTCTGTCCAAGACTTGAAACCTTAGTTGGTTTACATTATGACCATGTGTTTTAAAATGCCTGGGTACTGGAGCCTCCACTTTGTTGTGTTGTAATGCTGTCCTAATGCTCCTTTTATGCTCCCCTATCCGCTCTTTCACTGGCCTGATGGTCTCCCCCATATACAGGAGTCCACAGGGACACTTAAGACCATATACGACAAAGTCTGAGTTGCATGTGAAAAATTCTTTAACATAAAATGTTTTGCCTTATCTGGGATGAACAAAATATTCCCCCTTGATCACACTGTTACTTTTTGGGTTCTGAAAAGAATCTGGTTTGTTTCTTTGAACTGCCAATATCTGACCTTACTATCATGTCCCTCAGGTTCGAGGCCCTCTGATATGCAAAAAGTGGAGGCTGTTGGAATATCGGGGGTAATTGAGCATCCCCCTGAAAAAGTTGCCAATGCTTCAATATAACCTGTCTTATATCTCTGTTGAATGGAGTATATGGCGTCACCAACGTGATCCTTTCTACTTTATCTCTGGCCCCTGCGCCCGAAAGAGTTTCTTGTCGGGAAAGATTGTTAACCTTCTGTCGTTGATTGTCGACTATATGTGTGGGATAGCCTCTCTCTATGAATTTTTTGGCCATAAAATCTAAACCTGTCATCACTTTATCTTCTTGTGATACTATCCTTTTTACCCTTAACAGTTGACTGAATGGTAACCCATTCTTTAGATGGATTGGATGAAAGCTTGAGTAAGTCAATAGGTTGTTACGGTCAGTAGGTTTTATGTACAAGTCGCTATGGAGGCAATTCTGTACTCTCTGTACCTGAACATCTAAAAAAGGGACCGTAGTCATATCACAGTACATAGTGAATTTGATATTTTCATCTTGTATATTCAATGACTCAAAAAACTCCTGTAAATGGGCCCTGGTGCCGCTCCAACATATGAACCCGTCATCTATGTATCTTTTCCAAACTAAGCATTTGGAAAACAAAGGATGCTGATAGATGCATGTTTCCTCCATTCGATTCATATAAATGTTAGCATATGTTGGAGCGACATTCGAGCCCATAGCTGTGCCTTTGATCTGTTTGTAGTACTTATCACCAAACAGAAAGTAATTCTCCGTCAGAATGAAAGTCAGTAGTTCCCTAATGTATTTTCGGGTCTCCCCTTGTTGGGTTAATCTCGGGTCTCTATCCAGTGTCCAATCCACTGCTTGAATCCCTCTATTGTGGTCAATTGAAGTATATAGTAACTGTACATCCATGGTTACTAACCAAAAGTCACCTGGTGGAACATGTATATCTGCTAGTAGTGTAAGAAATGTGGTAGTATCTTTAAGGTATGATTTCTGCAATGGAACATATTTAATCAAAAATTTATCCAGTATCTCTGCTGGGTGTTGAAATATAGACCCAGTACCACTGACTATTGGTCTGCCTGGTGGAAAGAGGGGATTCTTATGTATCTTTGGAAGAGTGTAGAACACTGGAGTTCTTGGGTATTTGAGATTCATATATTTATATTCTCCATCTGAGATAATGTTTTTAGAGAGGGCCCATTGGTTAAGCCTATCTAGTGTACGTTTCAGATTATGTGTGGGATCTTGACTTATAAGTAAATAGTTTGTGTTATCCATTAGCTGAGTCTCAATTTCTTTTATATAGTATGTACGATCCATGATCACCAGTGCTCCCCCCTTGTCTGCTGGTTTGATAATGATGGATGCATCTTTCTTCAAGTTATTGATATTCAACCAATCTTGTTTAGTAAAATTGACACTTTGTTTTTGATATCTGTGAATATGTTGATGTTTTCTCCTAAGTTTATACATGTCTTTTTTCACAAGATTGGTGAATAAATCAATAGATGTATTGATATTATGTGGTGTGAAAGTGCTTTTAGGTTTCAAACCTGTATCAAGGGAAAGGACAGCACATGGACCAGACCCGGAAACGTAGTGTCCCACAGCCTCCATATTTCCTTCCTCATGTAGATCTCTCTGTGTAATCTGTGTATTATTGTCAGTAGATTCTGCTGCTGTACAAAAATTGTGCTGATCTGTTGAGAAAAATGCACGTAATTTAAGTTGGCGAAAGAATTTATACAAACTGACGTCATATTGATGCCACTCTATATGGGGTGTAGGAATGAAGGAGAGTCCCTTGTTCAGGGTCCCCTCCTCCGTAGGGGTTAAAGGCCTACCTGAAATATTATGTATTAGAGATTGCGTCTCGATTGGGGCGGTCGGCCTTGTCTTTTCTCTCGAGTGCCTCTTGTTGTAACCCCTCCGCCTCATGTTTCTTCGTGTCGTGTGCCTTTCTCTAAAAAAGTCATCCCTGAGGATGAGGAGGCAGAGGAAGAGGATGTAGCCCCTTCTGTGTCTGAGCGCCATCTCTGTGTAGTTGTGTCTCTGTTAGATCTATATGAACGATTATCTGCTCTAGAGTACCAGGTATAGACCTGATCCCTTTGATAATCTAATTCATCTCTATGAAATTTTTTCTTTTTGAATTCTTCCGTTTCTCTCTGATATTCTTTTAATTTTTCTTCTATTTGTTTTTTGAGCGTTTCCAAATCAGTTGATGCAGTGACCGCTGCTAGTTCTTGTTCTGCTGTTGCTATCTCTTTAATAAGTTTAGTTAATTCTTTCTGTAGGGATTCTATGGTTAATACCATAAGGTCCACTGAACATTTGTTTAGAATTTTATACCACACTGTTCGGTGTTCAACATTATCCCTACATAATGTGGGATGTAACCTAACCCTCAGACCCCTTGGGATTCTTTTTTGTCTAAGATATTCTCCTAGGGTGTTTACATGTAATTCCCAACTAATCTTTCTTTTTAAATCTCTCTCAAGTTTATGAGCTATTCCACGCTCACTATCATTAGTTAAAAATTCCCTAGCTCCTCTAAGAGCTGATGTGATACGGTTAATGTCACCCTTAGTATAGGCAAACGTTGCCATAAAGTCAACTATGTATAGGTGAAAAAATGAAATCCTATTGGAAAAATGCCAAAGATCTAGTTTGCTAGTGATCTTCACAAAACACTATATTATATTGATATTATAGTGAAAAAGATATAAATCGCATAATGGTGCTTCACACTAGGGAAGACAATATACAAAAACACAATATGTGCTGGCACTCAACACAAGCCAAGTCAAATACCAAAACACACAGACAGAAATTAGTATAGAAAAAAACACACAAAAGTGGATGTGGACAAGAATAAAGGCGCTTAATATATTATTTAGTGTGAATTATAGAATGTAGCTGCTATGTGCACTTTTAGTGAATACTCCAAAAGACACTATAATTATAAAACATACAGATAACAAAATACCAAGTAGTGATCAGAGTGCAAAAGACTTCAAACAAAACTTGATGTAAGTGCAGCGCTAAATAGTGATATAGAATTTATTATAATACACTTACCCCTTACAGTATATGTGGGGTATACATGTAAAAATAAACAAAGAAATATATAGAGAGTAGTATTGTCTGATATGTTTGAAGGTATATCAAATTAATAAGAAGAGTAAAACTCACATTTAGGAGAGCCTTTTATAAGGGTATAGGTTCTAAACACAACAGCGTCTTTGCCTTTAAAGGTAGGCAATAATACCTTGAAATATGGGGAGTTCTTCCTTTCTTTCCGTCGATGAATTATATCTCCAAATAAAACATAGAAAGAGATTCCTTGGTGCAGATAGTATGAGCAGATAGTAGAAATTAAATATATAAGCTCAATTGCTCACCTTGCTTAGAGCCTTTTAAACTGGCTCTAAGTATTGTAGGCATAAATGTCAGTAACCAGATGACACTTCCCTCTTATGGATACCACAAATATGGAGAGGAGATAAAATATACATATGAATTATAAAAAAATCCTCTCCCTCCTCTGTTCAGAAACACGTTTCGCCGTCATTTTCGGCTTCCTCAGTCTGTATTTGTGATTCCCTTAATGTCCGGTTTAATATCTTCCTCTTTTGCGCCTTTTTTCGGCCGCCGGGTTTCACTTCCGGTGTGGCGCCATGACGTCACTTCTGGGTCGGCTCGAAAATGCTGATACATCACTTTCGGTTCCTACTACAAATCCCGGCATGCTTCACTTCTCCTTCTAACTTATAGAGTCCGTTTCCATACTTGTCACACTTTGACACAGTGTATGGAATAAAAGTCCGTCTTAGTGGCTCAAAGATATAGAAATATATTAGTAATACATAAAACATATATATCCATATTTAAAACCAAAACATATATAGTATATACCTAATTTTTGGTTTATAAAAATAATAAATATAGATAAGAAATACATTAACATCCAAAAACCTACCAAAAATAAATATATTGCAGATTAAATAATGTAATTAATATAAAAAATATAAAATAAAAAAGTGTTTTATAGGAAAAATGTATAAAAGTTTAATCATAAAATACAAGATCAGAATCTAAGCAACCTAAACATCAATAATAATTAAAATAATAAAATATTAAGTAAATATTATACAGGTTACAAAAAATGGCATAACTCAAAATCTACATTAAGACCAAAAGGGGCAAGAGTGTTAAGGTTAAAAATCCATTTCATTTCTATTTGACCTAATTTTTTAATTTCGTTTTCTCCTCTCCAATTCATCTCTACTTTTTGGATAGCAAAGAATTTTAAAAAGGTGGGATCACTATTATGTAGTGTTTTAAAATGCAGGGACATGTTATGTTTGTCATAACCTTTTATAATGTTTATAATTGATGCATACATGTAGGGCACGTTTAGTCCTCCCTATATAGTACAGACCACATGGACACTGTAGGATATAAATGACTCTTTTGGAAAAACACGTAGTCATAGTTTTCAATTTATATTATCAAATATTCAAAAGATGTAAGATGCCTTGTGAAGAAAATAGACTTTTACCTGTTATTTTCTCCTTTTTTATTCGGTATTTTTATATGTGAATACTTGTATATTGAATGGATTGGTTCGGTAGTTTGAAACTACCGAATGCCAACCACCCTCCTGGCTCATTTACTTCAAAGAGACTAGCTATTAAGTGCTCCCTGGGCGGCCGCTGTTCGTATAACCAAACGCCACGTGGAAAAGAAAACGGCAGCCATCTTGTTCGCACGAGGAGAGCCAGCGGGACTTGGTCGTCAAGTGTCTGGAACTAAAATCGGACACTCAACCTCACGAACTACCGCTGGAAACTACCGAACGCCGGCTTTTCATACTTCCCGAACAGCCAGGAGAGCCTCATTCGGTAGTTCTGTGCGAACGGACAAGGGGAGCAATCGCTACTATGAGCCAGGGGAATCCATTCGGGACTTTTGTTCGTTTTTTGCAGTTTTGTGAATTGACCGACCGCACACGCTGAATTCATGGAACTGTTTTGGGCAGGAGGGACCCTCCACACTTTTTCAGAACCCCTGAACCGATCTGGGTGAAATTTGGATATGTTTGTCCCCCAGATCGGGGCTATCAAGGGATATGTAATTTGTGGGGATACCTTGTGGGGAAAGGGGTGTTCTAAGTTTTGGGGAAATTGTGTGCTCTCTGCCTGGAGATAATTGGTTTATTCCTTAACTTATCTCAATATCTCCCAGGCAGAGAGGAGGCGTGTAATACTGTAAATCTGTGTGATGATTGGCTGTTGCTTTTGTTTGCTGTGGGAGGTCCTCTTGCAGGAGGATTTCTCAAAAAAGCCCTGTTACACCCTTCATGAAGTCTAGGCTCATGTTTGGGGGATATTCTACTTGCTGGGAAGAATCAACTTGGAACTGCATTTCATCTATTCTATTCCTCCACTCCCTGCTGCAGCTATAATCACTCATGCTCAGCTGTTGGGACAGGGAAGCAAGACCGCAGCACCATAACCACTGCAGGTCTTAACATGCCTCTTACCGCTTTTGGTGTTCCTACAAGCCAAACATTGACCACACCCAAAGAAACCTTGCTTTTGGAAAAATTGGGTTTATTTTTTTTTCTTTTATATGGTTGTTTGTTAAAAAGCATTTCAAATTTGGTGCACCTCTATATATGATTTTAGGTTGATCAGGTAGTATGCCATGTAACTTGAGTCATTTTTTAAAATAGGCCAATACTCATTATTTCTCTTATTTTATTCTTATTTTGATTAAAATCTCTTTAAAACTTTCTTCTTTCTTAGGTTTATACTCTAGAAGAGTTTGTCAGTCCATCTCTTCCACTTCCTTCAATTTATAGAAAAGGGTTACGAAAATTCAATATTACAGAATACTATGAAGGAAGTGGAAGAGATGGACCGACAAACTCTTCTAGAGTATAAACCTAAGAAAGAAGAAAGTTTTAAAGAGATGCAATATATTTATTTTTGGTAGGTTTTTGGATGTTAATGTATTTCTTATCTATATTTATTATTTTTATAAACCAAAAATTAGGTATATACTATATATGTTTTGGTTTTAAATATGGATATATATGTTTTATGTATTACTAATATATTTCTATATCTTTGAGCCACTAAGACGGACTTTTATTCCATACACTGTGTCAAAGTGTGACAAGTATGGAAACGGACTCTATAAGTTAGAATGAGAAGTGAAGCATGCCGGGATTTGTAGTAGGAACCGAAATCCGGAAGTGATGTATCGGCATTTTCGAGCCGACCCGGAAGTGACGTCATGACGCCAAACCGGAAGTGAAACCCGGCGGCCGAAAAAAGGCGCAAAAGAGGAAGATATAAAACCGGACATTAAGGGAATCACAAATACAAACTGAGGAAGCCGAAAAGGACGTCGAAACGTGTTTCTGAACAGAGGAGGGAGAGGATTCTTTTTATAATTCATATGTGTATTTTATTTATGTTTATTTTGTGTATTAATAAATTATACTGTTAGTCATCCATACTCCATCTCCTCTCCATATTTGTGGTATCCATAAGAGGGAAGTGTCATCTGGTTACTGACATCTATGCCTACAATACTTAGAGCCAGTTTAAAAGGCTCTAAACAAGGTGAGCAATTGAGCTTATATATTTAATTTCTACTATCTGCTCATACTATCTGCACCAAGGAATCTCTTTCTATGTTTTATTTGGAGATATAATTCATCGACGGAAAGAAAGGAAAAATGCCCCCTATTTCAAGGTATTATTGCCTACCTTTAAAGGCAAAGACGCTGTTGTGTTTAGAGCCTATACTCTTATAAAAGGCTCTCCTAAATGTGAGTTTTACTCTTCTTATTCATTTGATATACCTTCAAACATATCAGACAATACTACTCTATATATATTCACATTTCTTTGTTTATTTTTACATGTATACCGAACATATACTGTAAGGGGTAAGTGTATTATAATAAATTCTATATCACTATTTAGCGCTGCATTTACATCAAGTTTTGTTTGAAGTCTTTTGCACTCTGATCACTACTTGGTATTTTGTTAACTGTATGTTTTAGAAATCAGTATAGTACTAGAGGGAACAACCAGCAAACCACAATAGGACACTGAATAAAAGCAAAATGCGCTCTTTTATGGTGGAGTGTCTTTTCTTTAAATCCACGCCAAAGCGTCAGGGAGCGTGGAATATTTTGAATTTTCATGGCATAGCCGCTATGACGTGTCATGAAAGGGGACGTGCGTAGAGCGGCCGACATTGGACATGCCGTGCCATCGCCGGGAGAAGTCGGCATTCGGAGCAACTCCTCGCGGGTCCGCGGTATTAAGGTAAGGTAAGGTATTGTGACACTAACATCATAAAGAAGTTAAAATAAAGCAATTCTTTTATTTTTAAGTTCTATGAATACTTTCATTCAGGTTGGAGATAGTTTCAAATTTACAATGTATCATGCCAGCAAAGTGTGCAGATCTTTTACACCAGCCATAATACATTGTAGGGCTGGTGTAAACATTGTTTCCAGGGCTGCTTCTAGTTCCTAGTCTGGCCAAGAATAAAAACACCAAATACATACTTCCACATGTGATGATGTATAATCAGAACCACCAAACATGCTATAAGAAGGGTACAAATATGCAGGTCACAACTTTCCAGCATTGATCCATTATTAATTATAGTGGTACAGGAGGGATGTGGACAACCTGCAAGATGAGCTGTGCAGGAGAAATGAAATTTAGATTTCTTTCAATGGTGAAGCCTCAGCACTACTTATTGTACCACTACTCCCTTCATAATTTCCTTCTTGTGGGTTTTCTTTCAATATTTACATATTCGATCACCAATATTCCTTTTATCCAATCTTCATACACTTCTTCATTTTCGTATGCTCCCACATTTTACCAACAATTCAAGATTGTTGCCCACCACTTATATCACATTCAAGCCACTCCCTGTAAACCCAACCAAACCAAATAATTTCCAACTTTTTTGAAAATCAACATGAGAGGTAAATATTTACTTAACATAAATTAAGCATATTTTACAGAATTACTTTCATTTTATAGTATTGCATATAGAGATAAGGGGTCTACAATCCGAAATATATCTTTGATATTATAAAACAGCCAAGATGTTGGGTATCTTTGGACTCATGGAAGAGTCATCCTTAAGCACACATGACTGGAAAAACATTTATGACATCACAGCATGATATCATGTATTATGATTTCACTGCTATGGACCAATGTACCTGATTTGGAGAATTTTATATTTATATATATATATTGGAGAATTTTATATTTATATATATTATGTATATGTTGTGGCAGGGTCAGAGAGGCTTTTTATGTTAGTAATAGATTGGAGCATTCTCTATTCCCAGCATGATGGGGTTAATTGGTGGGAGTCACCCCTTGAATGTTATCAACCAGGTGAATGTTATTAACCAGCACTAGGGTTTTAAAAGGTTAGCCTCTGAAGACATGTGGGAATCTAATAGCTGGGAGAGAGGATGAAGTTAAGCCTGAGACTCCAAGACGCTGAGAAAAAGGTACTGTGTAAAACCTGCTTAAAGTGCTGTATTTCATTTTGTTTAAAACTGGGAACCAGATTAGCTGGCCAGTTGAATAGTTAGTAATACTGTTGTTTAGTAAGTCTCCAAGTTGGAGTAGGATTTATTTTCTTTTTTGTTTTATTTTTATGGGAGAGCACAACCTTGTATATATTGAGGAAAGTGACAATAAACTGCAGTACTATTTTCTCCTGACTGTTGCATTTGAAGTTTATTGTGAAGAGCCTGGCCATCCTGCCACAATGTATATAGCAAACGTAATGACAGTCCACTTGCTAGAGTAGAAACACTCAACTGAAAATAGTTACAGAATCTATATGTTACAGATAACGAATTTTATTGAGAATATGTTAACCCATGCATTCAACAAAAAGGTGAAAGGTCAGTAAGGGGAATATCCAAAGCCAAATGGCTAAGCCTCTGTTACTCAAAGTTGAATCTTCCCTATTTGCCAGAACTCAGAATTCAACTTTACCAGCAAAACTTTTTGGCACTTTCTTACACACTTCATCCCAGCGGTTTATGAGTTAACTATTGACTGGACCGGCAACTGACAAGTAGCGACATCTAGCTCGGCGATTGGTTACTCTAAAAGTCCCAATTTGCATAACCAGTGACGTCACCTTATCGGCACCGATCGTGAGACATGTGGCAACAGGCGATTGGATGATCGCTAACTCCAAGCAAGGCATTCCCCTACTTAAGAGGACTTTAGGTCAGTCGGGTTTCTACCCCTGACGAAGGTGTACTTACATAGGCACCGAAACGCGCATCTGTTTTTTCTTCTCACAGGGCACTTCTTTTCACAGTGCAGGCAACCAGCATTCTAAGCATGGTTCTGCACTTTAGCACTTAGTTTTATTTTCTATTATTTCTTTCTCCTCTTAGAGTCTAGACCACATTCAGTTAGTAGAGTTTCTACTATCCACTGAGCCCACACTTTCCTCCATTGGTCTGTGGATTAGATTAGGATTAAGCATCATATAATCGCTGAGGCAATCTATACCTAATGCCCATAGACTGCAGCTTTATAATCAGGCTATACCACCTCCTCTAAATAGGACTGTATGAAAACACAGTTACAAATTGCAACTACATTTGCAACATTTCTCAACAGAGTTAACAGCAGTGTCATAAGCAGCCACAATAGGTTACTTTGAGATCCCCCAACTTTCACAATGATGCTATTCTCCTCTATTATGTTTTAAGAGATTTGGTTGGACGAAGCATTAGGTTCTTTTTCCAAATCTACTTACAACTCTCTACTAGTTACTTTTAATAGAGTAATTTTATGTGTAATATCTAAGACTCCTTTACTCACTTTTATACTACAATCCTATCCCAGCTATAGACCATACTTATTAAAGTCTGAATTCTGGCAAATAGGAAAGATTCAACTTTGAGTAACAGGCTTAGACATTTGGCTTTGGATATTCCTCTTACTGACCTTTCACCTTTTTGTTGAATGCATGGGATAACATATTCTCAATAATATTCGTTATCTGTAACATATAGATACTGTAACTATTTCCAATTGACATTTACGTGCAGAGTGTTTCTACTCTAGCAAGTGGACTGTCATTACGTTTGCTATATCTACCCAGAGTCAGGATTACTGTTTGATCCAGCACGTAGAACTGTATAGCATGGATGACAAATAAGTAACGTATTACCGGTCCTTAGAATGGCCGGATTTAACGTACATAGAATAGTCAAAAATACTAGCCGAGGTCAGGGAACACAGAAAGGGACGCAGTGATGAGGAAAGCCAGGAGTCAGGATACCAGAATATAGAGAAGTCAATAAGCCAAAGTCAAAAACCAGGTAGAAAACAACAGAAACGCGCTCTCGGACATCCACAAGGGAAACCACGACAGGGCACTGAGCAGGATGAGAACTGGGCCTAAATACCCCTCCTTTAGTTCTGATAGGCTGTAACCGGCCTTTGACCACAAAGTCAGTTACCAGGTTTCATTTGCATAATTGCTGCTCAGCATTAACCCTTCTGTGGATTAGGTTGCTGCTCGGCACAACTTTTCCTTGTGGGGATATTTATGGGATAATAATAGTAACAGTGAGAATTGCCCACTAATTCAATTCTCAGATCCCAAAGAACGTTTATCGTGTTAAGTGAAATGTATACCATATAAATAATATTCACAGTTTATATAAAAATAGATTTTTATTTATGATAACCAATAATTAATAATAATATATGTAACATGCATGACAATAATCAATGAATATTCAGTATAAAATGGTATGCAATACAAAGGAATGGGTATTACGTTTCAATGGCTTAACGGCATTATCTGTCAAGACTTCTACGATTTATGACTATCTTTAACACAGGCTGAAAGTGAAACTTTTCACAGCGAAGAACAGAATTCCTCAGAGTGCAGCGTAAGGTCGTAAAGTTTAGCAGACAGTTAGAATAACCCTTTCAATGCTGGCTAGATCTCCTAGGTAGTTAAGATCTATTCTTATGTATTTTTAAATAAAATAACATTTAACCCAGTTCACTAGTCATTTTCTTAAAATCATCCAATAAGAGAATTTACCACATATAAGCAGGTTTTTAATTTGTCTAAAAGATATCTATCTTGAATTAGAGCAAATCAATACATCTGGATAAAAACAGCGGTATGCTAACACGTGATAATATCACATCAATATATAATTATTCTTAATTCCACCTGCAGAATGGAATGTTTATAACTATATATTCTTAGTTAACTAAGATTTCTTAATATGGAAATCTGACCGTGCTTTATCCAGTCATATATAATGCTATTAATACATTTTAATTAATTTAATTTAATTAAATGAAACCAGTATAATTACCAGTTGAGTAGATATTTCATCCAATTGGTAGTCTCTCTGCATGGAGGTGTTGGTGAAAGTCAGTAAATTCTAAGTGTTAGAGTTTTA